ATAACTCATTTTCCCCTGTTTCTCTGCACTCTTTCTCCTCACAGGACTTATATAATACAAATATTTGTTTAAGAGTGTCACATAAGTTCTGCAGACTTTCTTCACTCTTTTTCATTTTTTTTTCCATTTGATAGTTTTTCCAAAATAAGTCCCCTCAAAATCAGAGATTCTTTCTTATTGTTGGTCTAATCTGCTGAGAAAACTCTCAATTGTATTTTTAAAATTTTTTATTTATTGACTTCTTCAATTCCAAGGTCTCAGAACTTTTTAGTTAAATATATATCTTTGGTGAATTTCTCATTCAGATCATGATTTGCTTTTCTTAATTGAAGTGTCTATTTTCTCTTGTATATCATGGGATTTCTGTCTTTATATCTGATGAAATCAGATATCCATGCCTGGAGAAGCACTTTCACTTTTAGATTAGTGCTAGGGTAGATGTTGGATAAGTTCCCTACCTCTGGCTCTCTGAGTGTACAGTATTGTAGAATTTATTCAGTGTTTTCAGTTGGGATCAGCATTATGATAGCTACATGTACCTGAGTGGAATTTGTGCATATACCTGTAGGAATTTGTGCCAGTGTATATGGCTGATAGATTTTTGGATGTCAAGATCTTTAGGAGTCCTGGTGTTACTGTATTCACAATGAAGAGACTTAGCTGAGGGAAACATTATATATATATAAATCTAGCAAAACAAAACAGAACAAAGCAGCAAAACTGATACAGAACTTCAAGGCAGGATACTAAGAAAATGAGAAGAGCTACCATAGTATATCTTGTTATCTTCACAATAGTAGCCCATGCCATCAGGTGTAGCAAAATCAAACCAAAATATAACATAATAAAATCAATAAAAACAGAATATTGAATAAAATAAAACAATCAGAACAAAGCAAACAGTGAGAACAATACTGGATTTCAAAGATGAGATAGAAGGAAATCCCCCATATTTGCTATATTGCATACTGTCATGCTCCCAAGAGATGCTCAGACTGTTGGCTCCAGGCCTGAAAAATTAACCAAACAATACAAACGTTTAGTTGCTTAATGTACTTTAGTTGCTATCAACTTCACTTATCCTCAGAACCAGCTGGTTGTTCACGAGAGATGTGGGAGGTGATTTGATTGTCATACCCTGCACCGATAGGCTCACAGGAGGTGCTATCTGACTTTTCTCTTCCTGGAACCACCGCATCTTGCATGGCTTACCAGAAGGGCTGGCTGTCTGGCTTCGTGGTGGGTCCTTCCAATCCCAGCATGGCTGATTCTTGGGAGGCACTGATTTTTCTTTTCCCAGTACCCATGCAGCTTGTGTAGCTTCCCAGAAATGCTGGCTTGTTGGCATCTTGGTGGGTCCTCCCAGTCCCAGTATCGAGGGAAATATTCTTGATATAGCATCTAATTGAGCTCATAAGCAGCCACAGTAGTGCTGTTTTAAGGCACAGGAGGTTGGATTAGTTTTGGGGCTGGGCCCTGGGCTCAATATCTTTCTGAAGCACTGTCAGTCCTATAGCATGGCTGTAGATTCCTTTATGCACTGGGTGGATGTAGCTCTTTCACCAAGATTTATTTTAGATTTTTAGTATATAGTTCATAGCACCTTAAAATCAATATGTTTGGCCAGTGGACAAAAGGTACAGCTATTACTCTGGCCCTGGTAATTAGATCATATCCCTTGTATGTCTCTGGAGAAGAAGAGGTAATCTAGAAGCCTGGGCCTCAAGGGAGCAAGGCACACATGAAATTCAGTTTCTAGAGTCAAAAGGCCAGAGCAGCAACGGAGGCACCAGGAGAGGAGGTATCACATATGGGGGATCCTGTACTCTAAAGTAGAGGGATACTGCCATGTCCTAGGCTCTGCAAAACTGAATGCAGAAGGAAAAATAAAAGAGAAATGGCAGGTTTGGACTGAACTCTGGTGGACAGATGTCCACCAGATGTCCACTATGATGAGGTCATTTCTCTGTGGGGCAGGATACCTCAGAAGCTGACTCCTAAGGTCTGGTTCAGAGCCAGAGAGGTAGGTTACCTTGGATATTTGTTCTAGAGAATGGGGAGGCATAACTCAATCAAGGCTCTGTTTCTGTGGAGAGGGAGGAAATTGTCATGTCAGGTCAGGCATCTGGGGTAGATCTGCTCTACTGTGCTGAGATTCTATTCTCTTGTCCTCTAGTACAGGCATAACCTTGTCTCAAGTGCCCAGGATCTTGGCAACTCCCCTGGGATGTTTTCTGGATGGTAGAGAGCTATGTTTATTGGGATAAGTCTTCATTACTGTGGTCCTGGTATACAGAGATGGTGGTTACTAAGTGAGTTTAGGTACTAAGTGGCTAACTTCAGGGGTGACAGGTAGGACTTGTGTTGGTTCAGTCACCTGGGGACATATCTGCTTCATAGCCTTTGCTATGAGTAGCCAGAGACATGTCACAGCAGCCACTGGGATGAAGGAGATGAATGTGTCCTAACAACTTGTTTCCAGTAGATAGGAAGCTTCAGCATCTCAAGTGAGCATTGGTCCGTTGATCCAGCATGGCCCCAATAATGGCAGAGCTTCAGGGATGATCGAGTACACTAGCCATTGGCCCTAGAGCAGGATTTACCGAAGCAATGGTTCTAGTTTTAAGAGAGTGTTTCAGATTGCAATGTGGTAGCAGTCTGAACCACTGAATTCAGGGTGCAGCTTGGGGTTTTTCTTTGGAGTAGTACTTCTGTGTTTATTCAAGGCAACTACCCAAATTGGCTTGACGCCTGTGAGGACTGCAGGATTCTCTTGGAGTGGGGACTGTAGGCATCCACTGTGGTAATGAGGGCTGCTGAGAGTGCTTGACTATCTTTTGCACACAAAGAGAAGTCCTTCCCAGGTCCAAGCTGAACCTAAAGGGTATGGAGTGGTGAGTCTAGATGTTTTCTTCCCTTTTCTGTGTTCCTGTGCTGACTCCGTGCTCTGTAGGTTTTCATCACTTTTTGTATGTTTTTGGAGGGAAGGGCATTAGGAACTTCTAGATGATCATCCAATAAGTGTCTGTAACACAATAGGAAACAATAAAATCTTAAAAATTAAATTGCAAACAGAAAAAGATGAGACTGCATCTGTATGAACAGTGCCTGTATAAAAATTGTGTAGCTCAATAGTGACATGGAAAGTGCAAACTAAAAACTCGGGATACTCCTAAACTCTGAGATGGTAGCTACTATAAAAAACCTACATTGTCACTTAGTGAGAATGTAGAGCAACTGGAACTTGTGCATATCCTGGAGGTTGTCTAGATTTGCAAAATATACTTGGAAAACTTAAAAATCTAACCGCCTAGATTCCATTTGTTGGTATGTACCATTCACAATGTGTATCAATAGATACCCATATGAATGTTCATAGTAGAACTAATTGTAAGAATGAAATATTGGAAACAACCCAACTTTAAGTCTCACTGTCAGTGATGTATATCTAGTATATAGATTTCTAAACATTTAATGTAAATTCAAGGATTTTTTTTTTTGACAATTGGGTAGGAAAAATTAGGAAAAGATTTTGAAACTCATGTACAAGAGGAAGGTACTATGGACTATATACTAAAATATATGAGAAACCTTACTAGATACATGAATTAAGTTAAAAATTCTCATATTCATAACATACAAAGTCTTCCAGTAACAATATATCTGTATATCTTCTTAAAATTTTTTAAGTTAAAACATTAGCAAATACTTAGACTTTTTTTCAAGAATATTAGAGCTTTTATATTTTAAAATATAGGCTTTAATTATCATTTTGGGACTTTTAATTTTAAATAAAGTAATTACTGTAGATATTTAAGCCATTCTTAGCTTTTGTTATTACAAACATGTTATAATAACCATTTATGTACACACATCTTAGAACAATTGTACAGTTAGAGCTTGAAAACAGAAAATTCCCTGGAAAAGAATTGATCAACTCATGTATGCCTTTATTGTTTATTTCTGTCTATGGCCAGAGTAGCAATTCTTTCGTATGAAGTTGTAACTTCATAAATTATTCATTATAAGCCATTTGGACATGTGCATGGTATACTTTCCAAACTTCAGTATACCTAAAATTTTACTTTCTTTTACAACTCTATTGAATTTTCTTTGTAATTTTCCACTGTCATTTAGTAATGAGCCATTTGTATAGTGAGTATGAGAACAGAAATAGAACATGATACGATTATACGGAATTAACTTTTAAGACATTGTTAGCACAAAAAATAGTTGATATATTTGAACTTATCCCATCTCCTCCTCTGATTTTTGTAATCTGAACTCAGGTTTTAGACCTAGCTTTCTGTTAATAAACTTGTAGTTTTTATATATTATTTATTTTGGTTTAAAATATTTGTCATTCTCATATCTGTACTCAATAATTAACAATTTTGATTGCATTTTGTTATACTTGCTTCATTTTCCATAATTTTAAAGGCTGGTTTTAGTTTTTAATGGTATTAAGATCCTTGTCCAGGTAGAGAACTTAGAATGCATGAATCTTGTTTCTTTCCTCTTTTTCTTCTCATACCCATTTAAAAATATACATCTGCAAAAAAATGAAATAATAATCATTACTAATCCTGGTATGCCCAGGATAATCATTATAAAGTTTTCAGTGTATGAATATATGCTCCTAGGAGCATGTGCATGTGTGGGTATGTTGTAGTTTTGCCTAATTTAAAATATACCTGTAGTTAAAATTACCACCGTTTTTTCATTTTTTATTCTAAATTAAAATGATTCCAAAATGGAAATTTCCAAGCAGTTGCACTATTTATTGACCAGAACATGGACAGACAGCAACTTAGGAAGAGTATATCTAGTTGAAATAACTAGCATTATTTTTTTTCTGGAATTAGTTTTCTCTTTTCCTAAACTTTGTCCTTCAAAGGACAAAGTTGACAATATGATTATATTTTAGTTAACTGTATAAATATGTTATCTATAAACATTTTGATCAGCATTGGCATTTTGTGCTTTGGTTTTTCCTACAGCAAGTTTCCAGCAGACACAGAACATAGTAACAAAGAGGAAGATGCACAATAACCTTCTGAAGTGGCCGGAGGCAAGAAGGAAACGCACACTTCCGCCCTCATCGCCTTCATTATTGAGGTGTTTGCACTATGTAATAATAAATCATCTGTGACTGAATTTCCAGACATGCGTCTGATGTCTTCTCTGAATTTCAGTTCCAGGCTCCACCTTATCTACTATAACGTGTGTCCAGGAAAGGCTCAGAAACAGATGAGTACAGGTTAAGACCCTTATCCAGTGAAGCCAACAAGTTCTGCCAGATCCGCCTCACAGCTCAGGACCAGGAGCATTCCTTGACATTTTACTTGTTTACCAAAGGTGGAAGCACATCTGCCCTTAGCCTGACTTTCCCACTGTCTTAAGCAGCTCCTAGTCACCACCTGGTCTGTGACTTGTCTCAGTGGCATTTACAAAGATAGAAACTGTACCCAAGGCCTGATGGGTCCTGTTTCACTTCTTGGAAAGTTCTTGTATCTGTCTTTGTGTGTTGGTGTAACTTTACCCAAAGTAAATTTGCCATGAAGCTAAGAAATAAAAGCTTTGGGGACACCTATCTCCATAACCCTTTTTCAAAGTCATGGACCTAAGTTTTCATTCTTAGTGCTGATCACATTTTAGTGGTTCAGGACCCCGTGCCTTAGATGCTCTGTGCTGCTCCCTAATCTCGTTGGTAGGGGAGCCATGGAGCCAGTTTGCACCAACTCAGCAGGGCAGATCATTACTTTTTCAGAACTAGTGCAAATCGGGCATTGAACAGCTTTTATTAGAAACATTATTTTCTCTTAAATTTATTAAAAACTAATACATATTACATTTCTTTGTGGTTTCCGTATCTGTATGGTGGAATTCCTATGCAACATTATGCAGTGTGTTTCCCATTTCCTCCAGCTCTCTTTCTAAAATAGTCAAATAGTAACTTGAAACTGACCTTCACTGAAGCTGATAAACTTATAAATTTGGGTTCTTGTCCTCTAGAGAATCAATTATGTAACATTTACCTTCAGCTATGCCATGCCCTTCAGCTATCTCTGCTTTTTTTTCCTTTCCAAATAGTTGGTTGGAGGTACATTTCTTTCTTCTTCTTCTTCTTCTTCTTCTTCTTCTTCTTCTTCTTCTTCTTCTTCTTCTTCTTCTTCTTCTTCTCCTTCTTCTTCTTTTTTGTAAATATGGTACCAGTCTATCCTCAAGTCTTCCTGGATCAAAATATTCCAGTAGCCTGGGTCCCTAGCAAATGACATGATTTGGGGAAATTTTGAGTGCTATATTTGTGGAAAGTAAAAATGTATTTCACATCAGGTCTGTTATGGAAAGTAGAGGAATTGTTAGTTTTACCATCAAAAATGATTAAGTTTATTAAGTTGCAGTGTAAAGATTTTGCTCTTCGAGCTGTTCAAATAGGCATGAGCTGGAGGGTCTAAGGAACGTCACGACAGACAAACCCTCCCAGATGCTGTAAAGCACTAACGACTTTTGTGAGGACTAAGGTAAGTGAAAGAGTAAAGTGGCTCTGGAACGAGGCAAGTTTGGAACTCACGTGAGAAGGCTTTGCTTTCACCGATAGCTACCCTTCAATGGTAAAAAGGAAAGAGTGAAGAAAATTTTTCAAACAGGTAATAGAAATGTCTTGCAGAAAAGTCTTTTTGCTTTTAGGGTTGAAAATAGAGGTGAATATGTCTGAAAGAGCTGCCAATATTAACTGTCTTGCTTCCTGAAAGTTACCTTATTACCCATAATTTCATACACACTGGGGCAAAGGCCAGTAAAGATTTGCAAATCCTGTAGTTATATAATACTTTGAGAGCTCATTCTACACAGTGAAAATGAATTTTTGCAATTTTTATCAGTAAAATGTGTGCTGTTATGCAGATACAAGATGTATGAAATATTTTTTATAGTAGGTATACATTCTCAAAAATCAAAATATAATATTGCAGATGAGATCTGATCCTTGATCTTATTTTTTGAAATTACTCTGATAAACCCATCATTTATCCTCAATATTGCCAAATTCTGTGGGGTACTGTACATTCTCAGTCTCTCAGCCTGTTTAGTTATTCCATTGCCTAGGACATAATAGATAGAGAATAGATAATAGACACAGTAGTACATATTTGTTGAATGGAATTGTATAGCCACACCCACAAATATCTGACACAGATGAATTTTCCAGTAATTAGAAAATCCGACTCCCATGGCACAATTGTTCTATAAATTTCAACCAATTATTTAACCAAGCCATAATAAAGATAATCTCACTAAAACACTGTCATATGAATCTTATACATTTTACATTTGTTTTTAGTATTTAAATGTTTAAGATACTAAGTGCATAAATATTATTTTGGGTTTTTTTGGTCTTTCATATTCCATAACTTTTTGGTTTACATATATAGTGACACTTGTGGGAGCTGTATTCTTCTTCACCTTTTAAGTCATAAATGTTTTTGACATATTGCTTGAGATAGACATATTTCTTTTTTTTAAATTTTATTTAAAAGGAAAAAGAGGAAAAACAAAACAAAGCAGTGTAAGGGTACAAGTAATACAGAACTACAAAAATAAAACAGTAAGAAATCACCAGTTAATAGATTACACATTATCATCCTAGAGATAGTTGCTCAAGTCACAGTATCAAAGCATACAAAGTGGACATTCAAACAGTGAGACTGCAAACAGTTGTGTTCAATGATCCAACCAAAAACATTAATATGGTCATCTATTTAACACCCCTAAACACACTTGCAGTTATATCCTTTAGAGCACTTTTTTTCCCTCTCTTTTTTTACAACAAAATTTACACATTTTGGGTTTTATTACTGCTTAGTTCTTATTACTTTTTTTTGGAAGAGAATATAGTCAAATATGACAAAACAAAGCTGTCAGTCAAAACCAAGGATAGACATAGCACATGATGTAAAACAGAGTACAGGGTTATCAACAATGGTTACCATAATGCCTGTTGCTTCCTTAAAAAGAATTGGATAGACATATTTCTTGTGACAGACATTTCTTGAGATAGAGTTAGATTGAGGTTTTCCATATGTTGGCCATTTAATACAAGTATTTAATAGATTTTGATCACTAGTTTGACTATTGCATTAACTTTTTATTTCTGTTACAAAGTAGCAGACACATACAATTTAAAGGAATAAGGTTTATTTGGGCTCATGCATTCAGAGTTTTCAGTTGGCTTCAAGATGGAAACAGTATGGCAGAGGAAATCTGCATACATCACAGCATCCAGGAAGTACAGAGTGGGTTTAAGAACGAGAGAGGAGGAGGCAGGAGCAAAAACTTCCTCTGCCAAGTTACACCCTCAGTGGCCTACCTCCTCTAACCAAGCTCCGCTTCCTAACAGCACACTCAGCTATAAATTCATCAAGAGGTTAAATCTTTTAGTAGGTTGGTACCCTATAATTCAATCATCTACAAGCCCCATGTCTGAACACATAGAACTTTTGGGGACATTTCTGGTCTAAACCATAACCCTCTGCCATTCACCCCCAAAAGTTCATGTCAGTATCTTTATGAAAATGTACTTAGCTCATCTCTAAGAGTTGCTAAAGTCTTAAAGTTTGGGATTTCTCAGGTCTAAGGTTCAAATCCATCATATCTCCTGAGACTCAAGCAACTCTTAGAAGTTAATGTCTATGAGTTACACACTCCTGATACATACTGGTGTGGGATAAACATTCCCATCCAAAAGGAGAGAGGCAGAGGGACTAGAAAGGAATACAACCAAAGCAAGACTGTTATGGTTTACATCTAAATGATCTCCGAAGGGCTCCTGTGCTCAGAGGCAGGACTATTGGAAGGTGACTAGATTATGAGGCACTGTTCTCTCAGACTGAGGAGTTGAGTTGAATATCCTATTAGGCAGTGGGCCTGGTCAACAGAAGAAGGTCTCTGCGTACATCATGTGAAAGAGTGTATTCTTGTATCCAGCTCCTTTCTCTCTGCTTCCTGGATGTGACAGACTGAACAGCTTTGCCTTTACTGTGCCCTTTCACTATGCCATTTCCCCCGTGGAGCCAGCAGACTATTTATGACACTATGAGACAAAGTAAACCCCCCTTTAAATTGTGAGTGTTGAGAATCATGTTCAGAAGATGAAGACTAAAACCCACCCTGAGAAATGTTATATCCCATAGCTCTATGATCAGCTATGGGATATACGATGGTGAGATGTGAATTCCAAATGGCTTGGGCAGCCTCACCAGACTGGCTGGATTTGCTTTTAGGTTTTACCAGACCATTGAGGAAGATATAATACCAATGTTCTTTAAACAATTCCATGAAATATAAAAGGAAGGAATAATTCTAAATTCGTTCTATAAAGCCAGTAGTACCCTGATACCAAAACTAGATAAAGGCTTAACCAAAAGAAGGAAGAAAAAATGAAGAAACTACAGACATACATTCTTGATGAATGTAGATTCAAAAATCCTAAATAAAAATCACCAAGCAGAATTCATCAGTGAATTATAAAGACTTTACACCATGATCAAGTTGATTTCATACTAATCATGCAAAAGTATTTCAACATATGTAATTCACCATGTATATAGAAACAAGGATAATAATAGTTATATCAATAGATTAAAAAGACTTTGAGGAAATTTATTATCCTTTTGTGATAAAAACAAAGAAGAAGTGTACAATAATCTTATCTTGATTTACTAGTTCACCATGGTTGAGTAATTAGCAGTGGCAAGAGGCAGAGGTGCCTGGATGTTCATCAGAAAACTCAGGCGCACCTGGAACTGTGGCACCCACTAGACATGGGCTGGCATACATGCAATCTTGGGAGAGAAGGTCTAACATCCTGAGGAAAGGATATAGCACTTCAATGGCCAAGCCACTAGAAAGGTTGCTAACCTTTCTGCCCTCTCCACCAGAAAAGGTAGCATATTTACAGTCCAGGGCATCGAAGAAACTGGAAGCTGACAAAGGATGTTTGAGACGGTGCTGTGGTCCCTTAGGGAAGGTGAAGACAGGTGCATGGCCCTGATTAGGGATCCAGCTCTAAA